TGAGAACTTTATTGAGGCAAGTATATATGTATGTATGTATGTATGTATGTATGTATGTTTTTAGCATTAAGCCAGTGTGAGGAAGGATGGAGGCCGTATGAGAGCAAATGCTATCTCATCTCAGACGTCACAAAGACATGGGTCGATGCCAGAGCGGCCTGTGTGGAGAAGGGAGGAGATTTAATGAGCATCCAGGACATTCATGAAAGGGTGAGCTGGATCCTAGTTTTATTCTAATGGCCTGAATCTCAGACTTGACAGCGCCAATGAATATGATATTCTTTTAGATGCCCAGAATATCTGGAAAAGAAATCATAATGCAATGATACAAGTAAAGGAATAACAGCACTAATCTGTGAAAAACTGCCATGGTATCTTTATCGACCAAGTATTCAGGACCTTGGTTTAACATCTAATCCAAAGGGCAGCAATTCCTTTAGCACAGTATTCACCCTCACCATACTGGGGGATTGGTTTGGAAATGCTGTTCCAGAGGGAAGGACTCCACCTACTGGTCACCCCAAACCACCTGCAGCAGCAAGAGGGTTTTCCATCTGGCCATCTTGGTACAGACCAGGCCCAGCCTAGCTTAGCTGCAGAGATGAGACAGGATCAGCTACAGAATGACTGCAGCTGCGGTGACTGTCCTGTACAGGACACGTGCAGTAGATGTACTTCCTTGTCAGTGGGTTTTGCATTTCCTTCCAGAGTTGGATCAGAACTCAGATTGGGACCAAAGACATCTTCTGGTTTGGCTTGAATGACATTGTTGCTGAGGGAGTGTGGGAGTGGTCAGATGGAAGCCAATATTATCCCTTTCTAGCGTAAGTGATCCGAAGCCATCCGAGGTTCACCCGCTCTCAATCTGAGCCATGGTATTTAACAACAGAAGATCATGGCTGGATTTATTTCAGGGTTATTTAGTTACGTAGTTATTTAGTTCGCTCACAGAAAGAAGATTCATGCACGGATACACTGTCAAGCTGTGATTTTCACAGATGAATGGGAAATTGTAGCTCCAGCAGAAGGCACTTCACAGTTGATGTCATGGTCGTCATCCCTCCTCTAGAGGGCGCTCCGACCTTTTATTATTAGTTTCATCATTACGTGCACC